ACCAGGGAATAAGCTCGTTGTAGTTCCTTTCCAGTCGTTTTTGTAGGCATTAAACTGCCAGAATTTTAAAAGACGATATCTCCGTTTGCATTGAACTTTCAGCGCTGCAACTTTGCAGATATTGTTTATGCTCCAACAGAAACATTACACACTAACTAACGTTAAAAAAGTGAAATCGCAATCAACCACCCCTTTAAAATATTAAACCCGACAGAAGATCAATACGGTGTTTTCATGCGAGCGCGGCCGCTCTTTTACGCTCATAGACCCAATGATATGACGGAACGCTGCAATCCGTCAGACAGACGCAACAAATCTCACGGTGTGTGTGACACGGAATGGCGCGCGGCCGCATCTGCTTAATCAGCAGCAGCTCAGTCTGTTTCCCATTGTGTGTGTGTGAAACCCCCTCCATTTCCATGCACAACATTCTCATGTGGATACAGTGTATTCAGCCGCACCGGCATTAGGGCGAACCGTATGGAGTTGCCTTCATAATCTAATGTAGCCTATAACCTAATAGGCCTCTATGTATGTATGTAGGTATACATGCATGCATGTATGCATATATCTATGCATGCATCTATCTATCTATCTATCTATCTATCTATCATTCATAATCAGGGAGGATAGTGAATGTCATATAGCGCTCCCCCTGTCATTTAGGTCAACCATGAATAGGCGATTTTATAGCTATTGCATTATGGTTATTTGCTCAAAGCCACTTTAGTGATAAGGGGTTTGAGAGCTTCACCATCTGCATGCTGGTCACGCTCGTGAAGAATATACGGTTATTTGTGTTACATGTGTAGCGATCGTGTCAAACCTCTCACCTTCATATCATTGACAATCGCCTGGAATAATCCACCAAGCGCGCCGCACTCCTTCTCCACCGACTCCAAATTTATATTATCCATCCTCAGTGAATATCCTTCTGTGAAATTACTTCCACAATATCCAGACGAGACGTGTGTGAGAGTGTTTTTTGAGAGCTAGATTTCAGCAGAAATCGTTGCGTCTTCAGCTGTCGGTTTGCCCAGAGGATTGAGGCAGATGATGGGGAGAGACAAGAGAGAGGTGGGTTACTCTCTCTCTCACTCTCTCTCTCCTCGGCTCTGGTTCTACTCTCCGCGGTTGGTGGAGGTTAGGCTCGTGGATGGCCCCGCAATAGTCACGGTCATCTTCGGACAACGATGCGGAATCGAGCTGAATGGATGTGAGAAGCGGAGTGCGCCACCCGCCCGGCAGAGACAGCTGAGTGAGTGTACAGAGTAGCAGCCTCGCAATGCGAGAGAGCCAGTAACTCGATCCATGCGAATCGTATTGAGCAGAACCGTTACTCTTGTCACATGGAGGCCAGAGGGAGGAGGGAAGAGAGAGGGGACACAAACACACAGACCGACCGATGCGAGTTATTCTGTCTGAATCTGAAACTAATTTAACTGAGGTCTGAAACTAATTTATTGTGCATCTTTTTTTATATATATATAAAATAGTAGTAGTAGGCAACTTGTCATATTGAATATTGTTGTGTGTATCCAGTTGAGTATGATCAGTGCCTGAAACTATTAAAGGAGTAGTTTTACCCTATTGTAAAAGTCATAGAGGTTTGGAACGACATGAGTGTGAGTAAATGATAACAGAATTGTCATTATTGAGTGAACTGTCCCTTTAATGAAAACCATATCAGTTTGGATATAAAGGGTGGGATTCAATCTGCATATTCAGGGACTTCATTAATGCCAAAGTTGTTCTGTGATAAATGATAATGAAGCTGAAATGAGATTTCCTGATTATGTCTTGCTGCTGTGATAAAGACCCAATCATCTTGTTCTCTTGCCACAGTGGAAAGGGGGAGAATGACGCCCTCTCTTAAAGATTCAAAACCAAGGTCACGGAGCCTGAGTGGTCATTGTCTACAAAACCGGGTGTCACATTTACAGAAATAGTTTTAAGGTCTCTCCCTCTAAACTCTTTTGGGAATTCTCTTACATTACATCTCTGCTCTGCTTTTTGCAAGAATTAAGTCAAGACACTGTTCATGGCCTATACGCTGCTGCCAGTGGTTACTGGCTACGGACAGAGAGATATAAACAGTTCTGTATTTACTGCCTGCCGACCTTGCATTATTGTAAATCACTTTGGTGAGAAAAAATCTGCCTGGAAATGTCAGTCACTCTAAACCTTTTCTCTTTTGCCGTCTCTTGCTCCGTTTTTCGTGATCTTCACTGTCGGGGCCTAACAAGGTTCCCCTCCATTTCATACATTACTCAGCAAGACAGCTAGGCTGCCTGCATCAGCATCAAATAGTCCTGCCAACCACCACTGAGCTGAGACACCTGCTTCACCCTTCATCCTTCATCTCCACTGTTATTACTGTAAAATACATGCTGTACATTATCATCTATCTTGCACATTTCTTGTTTTTTTCAGAAATTTGAGAAGTGTTTAGAATTCAGATTCTCATATATCTGACAGTGATCTAATGGCCATAAAAAACTTAAATATTCTTGGCACCAAATGAGCTCAGATTCTGATGTTCAGGGACTCAGCAGTGCTGCTGCGGTTGTTGGAACTTGTTTTACATGCGAGTTAGTGATGACGCAAATCTCCAGAGATCTACAGAGTGTGAATTAAAATTTTACCTAAGAGAGGGAAAGTAACAAGTAGATACAGAAATGTAATCAAAAGTAAATTACAATTGGTGAAAATTATTATTTTTTTCCCCTCTAGAGGAGATTCTTCTCAAAATGTGTTATGTAATTGTGTTATGTAGTCATGTATATGTTTTGGAGATATGTCAATGTGTATTAGCAAAGTCTTCATTCCTAATTCATTAAAAATATATCTTCTTTTGTGTTCCTCGGAAAAAAGAAAGTCATACTTATTTGGAACAACTATAATGGTTACATCATTTTCATTTCACTTCATTGTCTATTGAAATCTCTAACCTTTTTTAGATTTTGCGTTGTTCAGAAAAAAAAAACTTAATCTTATTTTCCTCTTTTGTAAAATATAGATTATTGTCCAGAGCACTACTGTAATGAATATTGTTCAAACTTCTGCTGCATGCAACACATACAGATATGCGTTCCAATTCCAGCTGTTCTTTTTCTTCCACACAGTAACACAAAGTTTTAATATAGCCTTAACCAAATTCCAAGCACATTACATCAGATTCATTTCAAGTGGAACATAAACCATCCCCCAAACCTCCTTTCTTTGGGTCTTTATACTATTAATACTTAAAATGGAGAGAGAGAATAACAAGAAAATACTAATTCAATTCGTCAAACTATTTCTGGGAAGACTTTCAAACTTTCAAAGCCAAAGAAAACCACCAACGTCTCATTTTTGGGGTCTTTTATACAGTTTAGTCATCCAAATACAGGTCAATCACTTCTTCAGAGCTATGGAATACAATAATAATATGTGCAATATCCCATATTCTGTGATACGTCAACCTCACGGCACCATTG